GCTAAATGAGCATTGCTAACCAATCAGAGTAAACCCTTCACTTGTGTTTAAATTCCTATGTACTCTATGATGTCAATGAATTTTTATTTATTTAAACTTTTGTTATCTAGTATACCACACTCATTGCAAAATGCTCTGGTTTTGATGACATGAAAAAAACTTACAAATTACAATTAAAATGTGGAAGCGGTTTGGCGCAGCCGGAATGGTTTGGTTTCCCAACCTTTTCGTAACCTTGAATAACTTGTTTGTTTGCCGTCATCCGCCGCCCCTAAAATCCCGAAAATTAGGGGCGGGTTCACTGACATAGCAGCTATATTTGATAGTTGATATTTGGGTATTATGAAAATTAGGGGCAGGTTTTTTTTTTTCCAAAAAAGGGTTTTTTTTTTCCAAAAAAGGGGTTTTTTTAAAGTTTAAAAGATCAAATGAAAACCACTTTTTCATCAATTTTGGCACAGATTCGTGTTATATAGAAATTGTTACTATTTAAAATTTTTTTTTTAAACAAAAAAATAATCGTTTTTCAATGAACAAAATGACAATTGCACAGCTTTCACGATGTTTCTATGATTTTACGAAAAAAAAAAAAACTTTTTTACAACGTGACAGTAGGCCTTATCTGCATTGCTGCAGTCTATCCAGCTGTATCAATGGGTACCAACAAACTGCTGGGAGTAACCTGCGGTGGACCCACGTCACACTTGGGGAAGTATTACACTTTCATCCACTATCAGCCCTAGTGGCTAGGCAATGATTTACTTCTACAATTAAAAAATATTCAACAATTTACATACTTAGGTTACCCCTGGTTTGTGTGCTGTTATTAGCAAGAAGAATAATTAATGTAGAAATGTTAAACACAGCTCAATGTTAGCAGCTAATTAAAGGTCTGGTAAATATGCTCATTTGCCATGTCTAATTGGCCTTCACTTGTCCACCAATCTTTTTGTCTCAGGATTTTGTTCTCGTACATCTGCATCGGCTTACTTCGCATCACCGAGTAACCATCATCATGCATCTCTGCGATACTTCTAGCATACAGGGGCATTGTTGTGCTATTTGCAATATGAGAAGCATAGTTATGCATGTTGTAAGTTTTACCGGTCTTACTCAACCCTTTAGCACATAAATCTGACTTACTCTTTACACTGACTGCCTTCCCAAAATGTGTTTTGACGTTGGCAGCCTGAAAATTTGTCCACAAATCTGCTTCTTTCTCGTTGACATCAGAGATGTATTTTACAGCTGGTTTTAATTTACACAACATGTTTCTACTCTGTTTTTTCTTTTTTATTATGATAGAAAGTATGATTAAAACAAGCACTGTAAATCCAAAAGATGCACAGCCTATTAAAATAAGTATTTTTGATGCTTGTGGATTTAAGAGTCTTGATGTTATCGTTGATGTTGTCTTGTTGTCGTTTGCATAACGACTTTTCGTTTCAAGTTCAGTTAAAATTGTGTCAGTCATTGTCAACATTGAAGTAGTAGGAATTTGATTAGTAGGAATTTGATTCAAGTTAAGGATCATTGTCAATGATCCTTCAGCATTATCACCTACAGCCATACACGACAAACTTCCACCGTTTATTCCATCCGTAATATTTTCAATGATAAGAACATTTTCAAATGTTTCAACTCTCATTTCTACCAAACTGATGTTCTTTAATGTCCAATTATACAGCAAATCAACATCAATTTCTGCCACGCACTTGAATTCAGCTGATGAACCCACCTCAATGCTTGTCATTGCAACAATTGATACATTCAGTCGTTGTTTAACAAAGAAGTCAAAGGCACATGAATAAACCTCATTTCCTCTTCCTAAAGCAAAATAATGACAGACGTATGTTGTCGCTCCAGTTGACTCCTCAGCTTCAAAAGATACCTCCTCAGTTTTCACTGAATCTTGTACTGCTGTTTTAGATACATCACACATTGGACTCCACAATATCGTAAGATCGTCGTAAGCGTATGCTTGGCAACTCAAAGTGATCATATCCCCCACAAAGTAAAATTTTTTGCATCTGCACACTGGATCTTCAAAGCTTGGCCACACTTTGAGTTGTATCGGTTCAGACTGTATATCGTCAGCCGTATAAACACATCTGTATACTCCGTTATCTTCCAAACTTAGCTTGTTTATGAACACCTGGTATTCGCTCCAATCTGGCCACTTTAAAGTACTGGAAATCCGATGATGTTGGGATACATCAGTACCATTCCGTGTTAATTTAAAATCATCGTTTTCAATAGGCTTACTGAAAGATCGGAATTCACAGTTGAATGTGCATTCGTCTCCTGCGACCAAATTCTTTTTTCCATACTTAAAAACGTCCAAGTATACCTTGCGATTGGCATTGGACACTCCTGCACACACAAGAACTAAAACAATAAGTGTGCACATATTAAAAAATAATAGAACCACAGCATGTGATAACAATACGGAAAGGTACAGTACAAAGTTAGAAAGGCTTGTTAGTCTGGCTTTTTGTTAAATTAGTACGCAAGCCTAAAGTTGCATGACAACACACAGCAAGAAGAACCGCAGAATGTTGCACGAGTCTACTTACATTGTAATTAAGTTGACAGAGATACTATAGAAACACGGAAATATTCCAATAATAATAGAAACTTTCTTAAAATGCTTTTAATGTCTAGTTTAGTTTCTAAGATATAAGTAGTGTGAAAGTGACAGATGATGTCCATCTCTCATCAGGTTATTGAGTTAAATTTGCTTATTGGTAGTACATTGAGGCTATATTGACACACCATCTAACCATTGGCCGAGTCTCCAAATAACATGCATGCAATCACCGTTGCATTCACACAGTGATAGTGTATCTGCTTCCTAGAAAGGATTAGAGCTAACTGATCGAGTGTTCTTACATTTGTATTAACAGTTTGGGCTAAAAGTTAGCTCCTGAAACTAATCTGAGAATTAACAAATAAATAATTATGTTTTCTGGTTTTTTTCATTTTTATTTCAACAGCTTGACAATAACAGATGCCATAAATGTGGAATAATATATAGTGACATAACAATTAAAAAGCTAAAAGTTGATTTTATGTAAATTAAGGAAATAAATAACAAAAAATTCTCTAACAAGGTGGCTACCACTCTACGGCCATTCCAAGGCAAAACAATGTAACTTAACGAAAATATAAAAGTTGTTACATTGTTTTGTCATAAAACGTCCGCCTAGGTTAGTGTCTACAATACTGATTAAAAAAAATAATCAAAACAGTCTGCAGGTTAGTGTCTACAATACTGATTAAAAAAAAATAATCAAAACAGTCTGCAAAAACAAGGGCAGTAACACAAGTGATTAAATCAAAATTTTATGCACGACACATCATTAAAAATTTAGCAAACGTACCTTGTTACATCGTGTCTGTGTATTACATGTACGAAAAACAGACATCAGAAATATATTTAGCGTGGATCTATTTGCATGATCACAGGGCGTAATTTATTATCCACTGTGGAATCATGTGTATTGTATCTATCCTGTCTATGTATCCAGTGGCGGATCCAGGGGGTGGGGGTTCAAGGTGTTTGGACAAACCCCCTCTGAAGAAACCTAACAAAATACAACTGGGTCCTGGCTTACAAAAGGCATGCTAACCTATCTAGGCATAGGTTGGAAGTTAGCCTAACTAGTTTTCAATTAAATTATACACACTGTTTTTGGTTCGCCATCGTAATAATTTATGTACGAAAGTGCATTCTTCAGACCTATCGGTTCATCAATCCATGAAAGAAAGTCTACATATCTAACTACTCAATGTTGTTGGAATATAATAATATATTGCCTGTCTTCGATTTTTTCCTCTATGATAGGCCTAAGAATGAGATAAAATTACCTGACCTTTTTTCAAGAGCAGGAAAACCTTGAATTTTGAAGAACTTAAAGGTCATTAAAAGTCTCCTCAGAAGTTGGAAAAGCTCTTTTCCGGCCATATAGAAATAAAAAATTTCCCGTTTTTTTAGAAACATTTTGAACCCCCCTCTTTTAAATCCTGAATCCGGCCCTGGTATCAATTGTTCTAAATTTTAGCATGGAGGAAGCAAGTTGGAAGTTAATTCTAGGAGATCTGCAGTGGCGGGTTCAGGAATTATAAATAGAGTGGGAGGGACTTTTCCCGAGACTGAGGGTCTAGACTACCTCAGCCCTACTATTGTTTGGGCTGAGGTAAGAAAATGTATGATTACGGCACCTTTAAATGGCTGGAAATGGCACTGTCAGACCAGATTACGGCACCTTTAAATGGCTGGAAATGGCACTGTCAGACCAAATTTTGATTATAATTTTCTTTTCTACTCCATTTAAAAAAAAATAATTTTATTTTTGCTGCACATAGTGATACCCATCAGTAC